GTATAATAAGTAAAACTTCCTACCTAGGAAGTAGTTAATAAATTTAATTACAAAATATAACCTGACATTGATTCTGCTCCTCGGTGTTTCACGCTGAATCAGGTAACCTGAAGATTGCAAGTCAATTATAAAGTAATGTCACTTCACTCTTACCCACACACATAAACAAGAGCCATCTCAGTCAGAGAAGAATTTCCCACACAGTTCTTGACTGAAATATAATTATTTTCAGATACAGGGCAGAATGAACTCTGATCATCTTCTGACAACTAGTTCCACACAGACCTCTGATAGCAAGTGCACTGATGATGTTAGTCTTCAGGGCATCTACAAACTGTCCCACAGTTGGATTATTGTTCAAACCATACTACGAACGAATAGCTTCAAATGTGTTCACAAGGTGATCATCAAACAGCTGTTGTCAGGTATTCACCACAGCACCACACTGAAAGAACATTAAAGAGGAAATTAGTGGGCTTCCTTACATGATGGACTTGTTCAGATTTGAAAATAACACACTTTACTTTAAAGGGACTGCCATTATAAAGCTTTTGTATATTTGATTAAATTATTCCTCATAGCAAAGTCTTTACCACCTTATTCTCTTATAAATCATATTACTGAGAGTGTGATCTGCTTTTCAAACATTTAACATATCCTACATAACTTGTGTACTGATAAGATTATATTGTAGCATCCTGTTGCATTCTTCCATTTTATAATAAATCTTATTTTACAGTCTTATGTGAAACTATTTATTAACTTTAAGTTTAAAATTTAAAACTTAAAAAGTTGCACATGACAGTAAAATAAGATTTATAATAAAATTGTATATTGATGTAGTTTCATAAGTAATGAATGATGATGACAATGACATTCTCGCTAGCCACCTGTAGCCAATACAGTGTTGTGGCTTGCTGCAATGATTGATATGCCTGAGTTCCACATCAGAAGTATTTATATTTACAGGGCTTATGAGAAATGAGGTTTCTTTCACTGCAAACGTTGGTGGCTACTTGGTAATGGTTGCACTGCAAACATTTTAAAGGATTAAGCAATACATAATAAAGTAATTACACCATGAATTAAAACAGACATACCTTGCTGGTTCCCTTGGAAAGCTGAAGAATTTGATGCCTTGCTTGCTGGATGACAAGCACCCAGCAGCAGCAAATGTCGTTTTCGTGTTTATACTGCAAAAAGCAATACAAAAATTATAACACCATCACGGTACTCTTAGAACTCTTTCACATTCAAGAGACAATCTCTGGGATAAACAGAAAGTTGCAGAACATATCATAAAAAAATATCATTTAGATGACAGTTCATGATAACCTGAAAAATTTTAGGCTTGAAAGAATTCTATGTTTCTAATTCCATTTGTGGTAGTAAGCATAATATTCATATACACAAATAATATGTTTGGCATGCAGCTGTAATTTCGTTCGCAAATGTCTACTTTCGTTTCGCAACCACATCAAATCAAAAGTCATACTTACCAATTTGCATATAATGCACCACCATAACTGCACGGAATTGTGGGTATTCAAGTTGGTTTGTTTAGGCTCTCTGATTGGTTGAGCCCAGCGTGAGTTTCGTCCGCCGCTCTTAGAGGCAGTAGTTACCGTGTTGCCCTTTCCCTTATTCAAGATTCCACCCCCTGATAGCAACAGTTATAGAACTACGTGCAGAGGTTGCTTGTGTTCTTTGGTTGGTCTCTCTGTTGCGTATTTTAGGCAAAGAGACGATAGGATTGCAAGGAAATTAATGAAAAGAATTTTGTAATTCAGTTGTTGCCGTTACATCACTGAGATAATAATGAAGCATTTTAAACAGATAGATATTGGTAAATCATCTGTAAGTTTTCAGATTGGAGTCATGTAGTTTAGTAATTATTGGAATTGTTCAGGTTAGATTATCAAATTTTAATTTTTATTACCTGCGTTATAAATTCAGAACTGTCGTACAATAGTAATACAGACTAACTCCTTATATTTAATCGGGAATAAGTTCTGGCAGTACTGAGTATGGACTGAGTGTGGATTTATGTTCTTACTTGGATTAAGGTTATGTTTCGTAGTTTTATTTTGCTGGGTGTTGCATCCAAAGCAGTGATATTCCATTCCTTGAAAAATCAGATTATTTGTGTTTTTATATTGTGAAGCCATTATTGTAATTGGAATTTCATATGGGGTGGCAGCGTTATCGGTCAAAGACTGAGTAAGAAGTCAGAATGCTACTATGAGTGGGCAACAGATTTTATTTAACACACATTCATTCTGCCTCAGAAAGTAAATCCTCTGCAGAAGTAAAGTGTTGATATCATGGAGAAGTACATGTATTTTTTTTTTTTGGTAATTTCTCTACAACAGCATTTTTACAAAAATGAAAATTCATGAGGCAGTTGTGTGCTTTTAATATATAAGAGTATAGAGCTGGATTCTTCCTTGTAAACCTGAAGATTCTGTTAGTAGTATGAGATTTCTTTTCTTTCAGCTTCTTAGTTTGAAAGCAGAGCTCTCTCGCAAGCAAGAAGAAGTAGTTAAAGCTAAGGCACGGGCTCAAGCACAATTCATACGTCCTTTTCCACAACCCAAGAAGCAGACCCTTTCAATCAAGACAAATGCAGGTGTTAGTGAAAGAGCAGAAAAGCATTTGGAAGAAGCAGAAGAGGAAGTGGATGCCTTTAAAAAGTCAAGGTGTGTGTTTGTATAAAATGATGGATAGAATAATGCTGCTACCAGGGTGCAACAGGATGGCAAATAATACTTGTAGGACTTTTTAGATAAAATACGAACCCAAATTAAAATAAAAAATTTGTCAGAATTTCAGCATCTGTAAAGGCTGGCTTAAGTCTAGAATGTGGTCGCCACTATCAGCAAACAACCAAGGCTCCAATTCCCAATAATACCATCCATTCCTGTTATACATTAAATAATGCGTGAATAGCAAATGTGCTTTACTGTATTTTGTCAGGGAGCCCTTTTTAGACTGTGAGTTACTGACAGTGATGTTGGTACAGCATCTCTGTTGACTGTTAAATGATAACTTCATGACATACTGGAATTTGGGTTACCAATATTTTTGTCCATCTAGAATTAATGTTTATTCTTTCACTGCCCATTTGTGTTACCATATGTGACCTACTGTTTAAATTACTTAAGCCAGCTATGATATCTGTGGTTACTGTATTCTGGGCTTGTTCTTAAATCTATAAAATGATTTTAACATATTTGCCTGATGATGGCTATTGATAGCCAAAACATGTAGCAGAGCCTTAGCTAGGCACTGATCTTGATATTTGTTGTGATGTGACAGTTAATAAAGAAGTTGTATATTGTGACACAACAGGATGCATGAAATGAAAATTAACATATTGCACTGCAGCACCCTATTGCACTCTGTATTCTAAATGAGCACTCACACTTCTCGCCGTCCCTGTGCAACTTCATCGATGTATTAAAATTCACACTTCAAAAATATTTGTCTCTTTCTGTTATTCAAATACTGCATGTTTCGGCCCAACTGGCTGGCATCATCAGGTGTACAAGTTGTAGAGGAACCTGCTGCCCCATTGTCACCCTGCTACAGTTTGTACTTTAAAGGTGTAAAATACTTATAAAATGTTTTAAAATATCATTCCATGATTATTTTCTTGTATGCACATGTGGGTGTGGTGTGTATTTTGTTAGTGTGTTGGCTTTTGTGAACAGCTATAAACAGCACCAAAGAGAAACCAACAGACCAACAAAATATACACCAGACCCACAACATGTGCACACAACAAAATAATTATATTTTTCTTTATTGTTTTTCTGTCTGAACACAACAGTGTGCCATGCCATTAAGACTATATAGAGTAAATGTGATTGAGATTTTGATAATTGTTGTCCTGAGACAGAAAAACAATCTATATAAATAAAAATGTAAATGTTCGTTTGAGTCTTACCGAAGATCTCCGAAACTTCTTCACCAATCACTTCGAAATTTTGACACAACGTTGCATTCAAACACGTGCGTGTTTTTGTGTGCCTATTATGTAGATTTCACACCCGTGACAGGTAAAAACAGGTAGTAAAAACCTGCCACATGTTCCGAATCCAGCAGTCGTTTCAATTGTAACGCTAGAACAGTTAGCGTATACTTCCATGGGAATGCAATAACAGTTTGCTGTTGCTAGCATTTCCTAAGCAACAGATGAAACTAACTCTTCGATAAGGTATTCCCTATCCCGTCCAAGCGCTGGCTATATGTATAAGAGAGTTTAGCTCCGGCAACTGTTCAGTATCGCGAGTGTCTCAAGTATCACGAGGTCACAAGTATCACAAGAGATTCCGAGTGAAATCACAGCATCCGCCGAGGTATAAATAGCCCACCTTGGACAAGAAGCAGTCATTCTCGGGGCAGATGCCAAAGGATACAGAAGAGAGCCTGGAGGTAAGCGCCAAAGGAGTTAGTCTTGGGATAGCCAACGCCGAATATAAACAGTTTTGATTTATTTTCATTTTGATTTAATTTTTCCTGTGACATTGCCTTGGAATTGGGCTGTGTCATGGAAACGCAATAACAGTGGGCCATTGCTAACAACAGATCGTGCCCTCTATTGCGTCCGAAACCAGGTTATGATAGTCCAGCTCCGAAGAGTGTTAAATAAAAATGTAAATGTTCGTTTTCTCTTATCGAAGATCTCCGAAAGTTCTTCACCGATCGCTTCGAAATCCAGTAGTCGTTTCAATAGTAACGCTAGAACAGCGTATACTTCCATTGAAACGCAATAACAGTGGCCCATTGCTAGCATTTCCTAAGCAACAGATGAAACTAACTCTTCGATAATGTATTCCCTATCCCGTCCGAGCACTTCGAAATGTTGACTCAACGTTGCATTCACAGAAGTCGTTTCAATAGTAACGCTAGAACACTTAGCGTATACTTCCATGGAAACGCAATAACAGTGGCCCATTGCTAGCATTTTTTTCTTCATCAGTGCAATCGATCTGCTTTAGTTCATTCAAATAATGCCTCGCAGAAGATCAAACTTGGGTTGTCGTACTCGCTGAGCAGAAGCAATGCGTCGAGTATTTGTAAATCAAACTGGAGAAGAACGGGCATCAGAGAACGAGCGAAAGAGACAAAGACAGGCTCAAATACATGCCGAGGAAGGAGCAGAGTGACGTGCAGCCAGACTTGAAGATGCGATCGGAATTGGGCTGTGTCGTTTACCATAGCGTTCATTTCGTGAGTATAGTTTATTTTTCATTTCGTTTTCTTAACTGTTCTCCTTATTTTTCAGTGCAATTGGCAGTGGGATTGAGCTGTGTCGATTGATCTGCGTTTGAATTGAAATATTTCATCCAAATAATGCCTCACAGAAGAACAAGCTTAGGTCGTCATACTCGCGAAGCGAAAGCAATGCGTCAAGTAATTTCAAATGAAACTAGGAAGGAACGGGCAGACTTAGCCACAGCAAGGTGTGGCCGGGCACAGCTAGTACAGAAATATATGTTAACCTTTAAGTGCCGAAGTGCCCCGTTGTGCCAGCAATGAGTAAGGTCGTCGTGGCCAAAGTACCCCGTTTTGGCCAGTCAGGCATTTAAACTCCGCTAGTGGAAGCGCGCACACATGCTGCTAGTAGAAGCGCATGCACAGTCCTTAATATTTATTTTTAAATGTAGTAATTATCAGACAGAATTGAGTAAAACCCTAATAGAGGAATTAAAATAATACCTAAATGAACAACAGCAAGTAAAAATATTCGTATGTATTATGCCAAAACTTATCCACGATCCAGTAATTTTAATGCAGATTCTGCAGTTAGGTATGTTAAAAATATAATGTAAAATTCGATGCACATACCTTTTTTTTTGTTACCTGCTTGATGTATATATAGGCTGAAATTATACTACAGTATTCGATTTCACTACGAACACACACGAAACAGATCGCACTCTGTATCTCAGCCACAATGCAGCTGTCTGTTCATTCAAATAGAAGGGGCAATAAGCTTTTGCAGCTCTAACGGAAGGTCTTAGCACTGAAGAAGGGACCCCTCTANCAACAGCAAGTAAAAATATTCGTATGTATTATGCCAAAACTTATCCACGATCCAGTAATTTTAATGCAGATTCTGCAGTTAGGTATGTTAAAAATATAATGTAAAATTCGATGCACATACCTTTTTTTTTGTTACCTGCTTGATGTATATATAGGCTGAAATTATACTACAGTATTCGATTTCACTACGAACACACACGAAACAGATCGCACTCTGTATCTCAGCCACAATGCAGCTGTCTGTTCATTCAAATAGAAGGGGCAATAAGCTTTTGCAGCTCTAACGGAAGGTCTTAGCACTGAAGAAGGGACCCCTCTAGCTTTCTCTTGAATAGCCGTGCTTTCATTCTTCTGTCCTTTCGTCAAAAGATTCGAAAATCCGAAGAGTGTAAGCAGTGCTAGCAGAAGACCAAATGATTTTATTGCTTCCATCTGTTTTATGACACCAGGGACTGCTAAAATTTGTCAAGTGTTACAAACAGAAATGAATTTATAATGCAGAACAACTCTGTGAAGAAATGGGAAACCATTTTTGCAGTATGCATCAAAATTAAAACACAAAAAATTGAAAATAAAGTAGAAGACTTTGTATTAAAAATTTAAAATCTTCCGTTATAATGTGCGACACTATGTTCTTTGCTGATATAAACAAAGTTAATTCCATCCATTTCTCATAAAAATTGAGCTAGATACAGCATTTTTAAACACAACACTTAAAATTGATTAAGCGCCTAACAGGGATGGACATTTAAAGGCAGAGTAGCAACGGGCATTTAAACGAGCACCAGCAGTGGGCATTTAAATAAACTCTGGCCAGCTCAAGCTTACCACTATTTCAAAGTCTGGCGTTTAGAGGTTAACACAACAGGATGCACTCCTTGAAGAAAATAATTATGGCATGATAGTTTAAAAATAATTTTAAAATACTGTATGTGTATTTTAGACCTTCAAAATGCAAAGTGTAGCAGTGTGACAAGGTGGCGGCAGTGGGCAGTGTCGTCTACATCTTCTACACCTGATGTTGATCTTTTGGGCCAAAATATGTAGTGTTCAAATAATAGGACAAGATTAATACTTTTGAAGTGTGAATTTTAATACATTAACAAAGTCGGACAGGGAGTGTGGGAAGTGCGATTCCTAATTCAAAATTATTTAACATTTTTATATTTCATGTAAAAGGGTGTTAGAATGGTTTACTTTTGTGTACCCCCACAAAGAACCCTGATATAAATTGGAATATAGATATCTGTAATAATATATACAAATTGCGGGCACCGTATATTACATTATGTTTCTTAAAATCACTTTTATTTTCTCCTTTTCTGTATTATTCCATACACTTTATCTAACTTCAAATGATCATAGGTTCATACATTATGTGTAACCCAAAAGAATTTTTATTTTAAAATGTCTGACATTGTTTGACTGTGTTCAAAATCTCTCATTTTTGTTGCCACACTGAAAATGGCTACTGGATACCAGGGAAATTTTCCCTTGAAATAGAGTGCCTAGATTGTTAAACTGAATGCCCTTCAGAATTTTATGCAGTGGCCTAGAATGAATGAGCTTTACCACTGTGTCCCCTGTGCACACACTTCCTTGATTACATTAGCTACATTTAAGTTATAAATGCGACTTCAGAATGAGAACGCTTTTGATTTTCTGGTCTTATACAGAGGAACTGTTTTTTTTAGAGCCGCCCTAGAAGTAAAAGCGAAGCTGTATGAAAAACTGTCACAGGATTCCTCAGCCATCACTGATGACACAAAGTTTCTTGTGAACTTCCAACAGAAAACTTCAGATAAATGTAACAAAAGAGAAGAAACCACTGCCACAAAGAAGCCTGAGGAAGACGAGGAAGAGGATAATCATTTCAGTGATGAATATGCCAATTCACTGGGTCCAGAGGAAGACTGGTATGCAGTAGGTTGAGAATGGAACGTTTGATCCTCTGAAACCTGAAATTCATTTCAATGAAATAACAGTAGAGTTCTTACCATACAGAAGACACATTGCCATTTTCCTGCATACCATTGTTGGGATAGCTCAGTCAGTGTAGTGATAGACTCTGGGCTAGATGGATGGGGCATGAATCCCAGCACATCCTGACTAGCGCTGGGACCCACCCAACCTCCTACTGAATGGGTACCAGGGGCTCTTTCCCTGTGATAAAGCAGCCAGGGCATGAAGCTGACCGCTCACCTCCATCTAAAGCTGAGGTTAGGAATGGTGGACCTATACCGCCACTCCCCCTTATGTCTTCATGGAATATTGCTTAAGTAAGCAGGACAACTTTACCCTTACCTTACATTCATACCATTCCCTTACCCCCTTCCAAGGATCTCTGCATCCTGCCTGTATAAGTGAACTGGTTCCTCACCCTATACATTTGAACCCTGGTGATGTAGGCAACAGGTATCCTACTACCAGACTGTATGGTGTCACAGCAGAGTTACCCACAATCTGATAAATTCATCTCCATTACAAACTTATCCGGCTAATTCTGTTTAGAGAAATAATCATGGTTTAGTGTTAGAACCATATGAAACACAATCGTAGTGTGAGCAAAGTGTTTCTAAATAGTGTTAAATCAGTTGGTGCATATACGTGGGTAGGCTGAAAAGTAGTGCACACATGCTTGTAGATCACGAACAAAAACAAATAGCAAGATCGGGCAAAAAGTACATTAAAGTACAATTCTTAAGTTTCAAAAGCATATATTTATTTTTCAACATAGTCACCGTTAAGGCTAACACATTTCTCCCAACGTGTAACAAGTCTTTTCATTCCGTCACTGAAAAATTCTTCCGACTTCTCTCGAATCCAGAACTTGACAGCTGCCTTCACCTCATCGTCCGAGGTGTAATGATTACCCTTGAGATCTCTCTTGAGTAGAGGAAAAAAATAAAAATAGCAAGGCGCAAGATCAGGGGGATAAGGAGGGTGTGGAATCGGTTCAAACTTCAGGTTTCACAGAGCCTCTTCAGTTGCACGCGAAGTGTGCGGACGAGCGTTGTTATGTTGCAAGACTATTGGCGCCAGGCTGCCTCTAACATGACAAACTCGATGCCAGAGGTGTTTTAGAGTCTGTACGTACTGAGAAGAATATACCGTTGCCCCTCGTTCCAGAAAATCGGTCACATAAACTTGGTGAGCATCCAAAAATACAGTCAAAAGAAGTTTTTGGCGGATGGTTGTGTTTTGAACTTTTTCGCCTGAGGAGAAGACGGATGTCGATATTCAGCGCTCTGTCTTTTCTCTTCCGGGTCGTAACGATGGGCTTATGACTCGTCCCCCGTCACAGTATTCAAAAGAAAGTCGTCTCCTTCGACACAGTAGCGCTGCAAAAGTTGCTCGCAGCATTACAATCGACGCTGTTTGTTCTCATCTGTGAGACGGCGTGGTACCCATCGTACACAGATTTTACGGTATCCCAATTGTTCAATAATGAAGCCGACACGTTCCTTGGATATTCCAATATGGTTTGCGATACGCTTTTGAGTGATTCGCCGATCATTTTGAATCAAATCGTTGACGAGTTTGCGATGATTATTGTCTGTGTCAGTGATCGGATGTCCGCTGCGTGTTTCATCAACAATTATGGCTTTTCCAGGCTCGCAACCACGAAATTTTATTACTCATCGATTTACAGTAGACCTATCAACAGCATCGTCACCATAAACACCCTTTAAACGATGATGAATCTCAGCAGGAGTCACTTTTTCAGCAGTTAAAAATTCGATAACAGCTCGCTGTTTAACTCGCGTTGACATAGCACTAGAACACGTCTCTTTGCTTCAGCGCCTCGAAATACACTGGATGAACGCAACGACCTCAAACCTGCGCATGCATATTGAGGGGGAATGTTACTTCCACATGCCACCTGGCGCGCTTCTGAAGGTCATTTTGTTCGTACTCTACAAGCATGTGTGCATTACTTTTCAGCCTACCTACGTACTTGCCACTGGGCTTTAAAGGTTTGAAGTGAGTGCAGTATGAGACATTGATCCATAATGTACTCATAAATGTCGGTCACCTCGTCAGCATATCTTTATCTTAAAAGTAAACCATCTCAGCATAAACCTTATGAATTTGTCTGAGATATTTCGGTAGTAGCTTGAAGCACTCAGGGAACCTAGTAAGTATTTGTATTTTACCAGATTTCTGACATGTCATCTTAGTCATGTGTTTGGATCATGAGACTTTACAAAGCAGAATGTTGAAGTGACGGGGGAGATAGCAGGTGCAAATCTTGGACAGGCTACTGACTATCCTGATCAGTATTGTTTGTGATATTCCTTCTTCTCCTTACAGTGCTGTCACAGTACTTAGTTCATGATCGCCTCCTTCCAAAACCTCACCTAAGATCACCTTCCTGGCTCATTTGCCTTCAGAGTCAAAACTCTGCAGACTGATATTCCAACCTGGAACCTCCTGAATACAAAATAGAAGGGCTGGCCATTTAGCTTACTGGATTTTCAAGAAATTAATTTATGCTTGGATAGCACAGTTGGTATAGCGACTGGTTATGGGCTGGACAACCAAGAGCTTGGAGTTCGAGTCCCGGTAGGGTCAAGAAGTTTCACTTCTCAATGTCGTCCAGACCATCTCTGGGGTCCACCCAACATCCTATACAATGGATACCAGAAGCTCTTTCCCAGGTGTAAAGCAGTGGGCCGTGAAGCTGACCACTCACCTCTAACCAGTGCCGAGGTCAAGAAAATGTGGAGCTATGCATCCACTTCCCCATACGTGTTCATGGCGTAGTGCTTCATGAGTTAAGCACAGGGACAATTTTACGTTTTACTAAAGTTCACAAATTCTAAGTTAGAGTGGCAGGTGCAATGATATTCCTGAATCAATATTTTTTGCTACTTACCACATTCCATTACTACTTGTTCTAACTGTCCAGTGCGTTAAGGCCCTTTGCGTTGGGAGCCACTCCTTCTCACCGTCCTTCTCCGGCAGTCCTCTGAAGAGCCCTTTTGTTGCTGGTTGCATCTGCTCCTCTAGCCGTTCCCTCTCACCTGTTGTTACTTCGAGTTGGCAGGTTGCTGCTGCATCCTTCCTATCCAGTTCTGTTTCCCTTTTTGTTGTTCTGGTGGATAATAGTTTGTGGGGTATGGGTTATCAGAGTGCTGGGCACCAGTAAGCTTACTGTAACGGCTTACATTTCGGGGAAAAGGGGGGATGAACTGGCAGCTACAGGTGCTAGGTACCGCATTCTCACTGGAGCGATGAGATTCGGTCTCAGGATGAATACGGGCCTTGCGTCAGCAGGAAAGAGAAGAGTGTTTTAGGTAGGCACTAACACACACTGTTTAATTAGCCGATCTTGCTACACACGTAC